TGCTTGGTGGAAATGGGAGGTTGGTTTTAGTTCAGTATGGGACGTTGCACCAAAAAGCAGGTTATTTGGCTTCTCCTCATATAGTCTCATCTGTTCAGCTGGGAGGTTTCACTCTTATCAGGCAGTTTGTACCCTGAATTGAAAAAGAAACACAGTATTAATGAAGGTCAGGTGTCACTGCAGTGCTTTTGTTTATGTATATCTGTATAAATGTGTAAAAATAGTTTCTGCTAATCAGGAAGGACTACCTGTCAAGTATTTATGTTCATTTATCTTTGAAGATCATGTAATGTACTCGTATGTTGTTTAAACTGTAGTTCACCATAAAGGAAATCGGAAGAATTAGATGTAATCTAATTGTTTTAACCATCTGTCAGAGAGAGATAAAATTTGCTTCTAAACCCTTCTCTAGGTTTGTGTGTTCTATGACTGTGTAAGGTAGTTGATTTTTTTTTTTATTTGTACAATGGAAAATCAGTATCTTTATGAGAGCAAACAAAACCTCAGTGGAAAAAGTACTCTTGTTTTATTATTGTCTTTTGCCCTCGAAGCATATGCAGGAGAGAGTAATAAACACGTAGTGTTGCCTGTAAGGATCCTAAAAATAGTTCTGTGTAGGTTTTAAAAAAAAAACAGGTGCGTACAGCTACTTGTACACATTTTGACTTAATATTTTTCTTTATGTGTGGTATTTGGTTCAAGTGATTTTTTTAAAAAATGAGGATTAATATCAGATATTGTCATTTAAATGTTGGCTTTCTTAGTATTTCACAGAGAACACTTTCTGGATGCTGGTAAAGCCCTTGAATTTTCAAGTTTCTCAGCTTTAATGACACTAAATAAGAAACATCAGGCTGGAATAAGCTACTTGTCTGCAAAACTTTTTTAAGTTTTGAAAGACATAGCTATACATCACTAGAACGACCAACTCGTAACTCTGAAGAAATGTTTAATTCCCTGCAAATTCAGCGTAGTTCATAAAAAATCCTGTTTTAATGAAACTGAAACTGATATTAAAAAGGCAATCTCAGCACACTTCCTGTAATACACATCAGACTGTTATTGAAATGGCTGATACTTTAGTAACTGGTGTTTTCAATTTGAGAGGACTTTGAGCTTCTTACTTAATTGTGATTAAAGATATAAACATGTCCAAATTGAAATGAAATAATCTGTAATAATAAAAATTAAATTCAGGGAGTTTCAGACCGATACTTTGTGGAGGTTTTTAGGCATCTGCTTTTCACCTCTTATTTAAAAGGAAGTAAAATGGAATAATTACTTTTTCCCCAGTGGAAATGCTGCTTTCTGCTTGGTCTGTAATACTGTCCTGATGCTGACAGGTCTGTGGGGTTTGACTGAGTTTAGTGGGGCTTCAGAAGTTAAGTATTCTGCAATTTTGTATGCTAGACTCTGTGAGGAAGGACTTTCCCTTATTGGATATTGTGCATCAGTCATATAGAGCATTGTGTAGTGTAGTTGTGCAGAGCTGTAGTCAAACTATTCTGTCCTTTTTTCCAGTTTGCAATTAAAACCTAGAAGAAATCTTTATCAAAAGGTCCAGGATGAACCTGTTCTCTCAGGTGGAAAAGTATAAGTGTTAATGATGAGATGCAAACTCTTGTTTTTATGATTGCATTAGTAAAATACAGAAGACAAACTCAGTTATTCTTTCTGAATTGTTGAGCTAGTCTAACTAGACTGTAATACTGTTGTAGCTTTTTCTTAAATAATTGTTTCTCTTTTTTGTTTTGGCAGGTTTTGCACTAGTATTGTTGCTCAGGATGACAAAGGAAACATTTACCATGGTCGGAACCTGGATTATGATTTTGTTGACATACTAAGCAAGATCACAATTGATGTGCAGTTTATAAGAAGAGGGCAGGTATGGTGGGTGGTTGCCATGGCTGGGTGGTGTCCTGGGAAGGAACAGGGTGTGGTCATAGAGCTGTGTAGGCAGTTGTGGTGGCAAATGTATGTGAGATGGAAATTATTTTCTTAAAATTCATTAGTCTGGTTTGCAAATGGGGAATTTTTGTTTCTTATTTGGCTTACCTACTAACTTAGGCAATATTTTTGTGCAGTTACTGATAGTTAACGAATGAAATGCAGTGGATTTTGGTCCTTGAAGTCTTTTTATCGTTTACTTGCATGCCTAACTGTAACATACAGCCAAGTGTTCTGTAGCAACTTATGTATGGAAGTCACAGGAAAAAAAAGCACAGGATGCTACTTTAGAATGTTGCTTGTATTTTAAGTAGTGTTCTGTTCCAAAATCCTAAAATACTTCATGTTTCCTGGTTTCAGATAGCATATCAAGGCACCACATTTCTTGGTTATGTAGGATTATGGACTGGACAAAGTCCGCACAAGTTCACGATCTCTGGTGATGAACGAGGTAAAATAAATTTGTCCTCACATAATGTTCTGTGCATGATTCCAGCTGACTGTTGTCTGCTCTAGCCCTTCTCTCACATTATCCCAGAGGGAAAAAAAACTTGAGGCTGCCAGGAAGAAGCTGAAAGTGCATGACTTCTCTGGCCCTCAGGAGCTGAAAGCACATGTTGCCAGTTTTTGGTTGCTGCAGAGGAGGAGAGAGGAATTTGTTTGTCAGCACAGTGTCATCTGAACTTGCAATGTGCCAAAGAAGACAGAATGTTGGAAATTAACACAGTCTGTTCAAGATATACAATTGGAGATGGCAGAGAAAGTGTTGAGAGAAAAAAAAAAAGCAGTTAGGTATAGCAAATAGCTGCTTTCTTAGTGTTCTGTCCCCATAGGGCAGCTTTAAAGAGAGTGGGAGGAGAAACCTAAGGTTGAGGCATCTAGGGGAAAGGCAGCAGGGCTTCAGAGACTGCATGGAGGCACTGGAAGAGGGAGCTGAGGAACGATCCAGTAGTAGAGGGAAGTTGATATGTCATTATTGAGAACTAACACTGGAGAACAGGAGGGCTTGGAACAGTCAAGAAGGCAGGGGAAGGGTCATTTCCATCAGTGCTTCAGTTTCACAGATCTGGATAGGTATGTCTGGCCTTGGGTTTGCTTCTTCTGTTTCTTTTCCCCTCTTTTTTTTTTTTAATTGTCTTTTTAAGAAGCAGACACTTTTTGCTTTTATTAGCTGTTTATTAGAACTGGAAACAATGTCATCTGACTTAGAACCAGAATCTAAAATAACTTCGTTTTTCACCTGAGATTGCAGTAAGCAATTTTTTTCTTTCTTTTAGTTATACAATCTTCTGTTTACACATTTTTTTAGTTATAATGCAAACACTAGTCAGTGTGTGATATACATACTAATTATCTCTTAAGTAGGGATTTTTGTTAATACTGCCTTCGTGCATTCACTGGATTCTTTCCATAGTTGGCACTCATTTCTTTAAGAGCCTGCTTCTGATGCAAGTATAGTTATTTAATCTTTCCAAAACTGGAGGCTGATACTGAGATGCAAACTGCTTTTCATACTAAGAGCAGCTTGGAAATATTCTTAAGTGAACTAAGCCCTTGCAAAAGGCTTGATTTAGAAAACCTCGTGGACCAGCGTCCTTTGTCTGAATGGGCACCATCTGGGAACAAAGCTAGTGCTGTCTTGTTCTCCCTGCTGTTCCTCAGTGTGCCTCAACCCCAAGCATGAGGATGACTGGAGACAACACCAAGGTGGTTTAGTGTTTGCACAAACCCAATTCTGATAGAGGGATCCAGTTCTGCAGACTTCTGGGTGCAATAATCCCTCTTGTCCATCAAGAGCTGATGTGCTGTACTCATCTGTGCCTTCACTTCAACTACAGCCAACAGAAATTCACTAAACACATGCTGTGCTCCTGGAAATCAGTTTTGCTGGCTGCTTGATGCCTTATCTGTCACTGTGTAACTTAATTTAGATAAGCAAGCATGTGAACTGTAGCTGGGAAGGGGGATGACTTTAAATTAGGGTGAAGGTTTTTCAACTGACAAGCGTATTGTTTCTGCTGACTTTCTGGTTTGGGCAATTATAAACTTCTGTTTTTCTTAGCTCTCCTAATTTTCTTTTTAACTCTTTTGTGATTTCAACATAATTTTCCCTGTTGTAATATTTCACTAAGATGATTAATGAGGTGATTAATGCTAATATTTGAACTGTCAAATGTAAATTATTATATATATATATAATATATATATTATATTATATATGAATAGACCTGCAGTCCTTTTGGAAATAAATGTTACAAATTGCTGTTAGTCTTCTAGCACTGCTCACAGGACAATGGTACCTTTCAGAAGACACCAAAAAGCCAAGCTAATTGCTCCTGTTATTATGGGTCTGAGGTGTTTCTGGAAAGCAGAAGTATTAATGCAGCTGCCCGGGGGAATTTGAGTTGGGATTATGTTGTCTGTATTGCACCCCTGAATACTATGCTCCTTGTTAACCCCTCTCCTGAAAGGTTGCTGGTTTATGCTGGTACTTGGCTGCCCTGGTTCATGGAGGATTTCGGTTTCTGTGGGACTGTAATTATCCAAATCTGATCATAGAGAAAACTGAGTATTTGAAAGACAAATGAGGGCCTCCCAGGGTATGTTAGCCTGGTTATGCAGCACATCCTGTGTATTTTATGTATAGATATCAGTAGAAATACAGAAAAAAGGAGCATTATCAGTGTTAATAATCAATGTTAATAAGCTCAAGATGGTACAGAGGCTCTGACTGCTTTCAGGTGGTGGTGTGTGCTTTGTCAGTTCACTATAAACTGCCTAAGTTTGATGGCTTGATAGAGGTGTAGTTAGAGAATGTAATAATCACTGTTCTGTAATGCGGTTGAGGGAAAGGTTGCAGAGCTAGAGATGGGAGATGGAGAAGAAAGGTGAGAGGATAGATTTCACAGAGCATATGTAACATGCACATGGAATAATTTCTTCTTTTGTTTTGCTAGCTGGTGGTAGATGGTGGGAAAATGCAGTAGCTGCTTTTCTGAATCGGAACTACCCTGTCAGCTGGCTTGTCCGAGATGTAAGTGCACAGAGGTATTTACTTAAATTTCACTGTCATGTCATTTGTACTTCAGAAACTCCTGGTAAATCTGATGATCCAACTTCTTGTTTCACAGAAAATTCAGTAAATTGACAACTAGATGTCTCTCCTAAGAGGGGATAGGTACTGTCCCCACACGGTCAGTGGTGTGTATGAGAACAAATGCCAGTCCTAGGGGGCAATCTCTGATCGATACTGAAAGTCTTTAAGAAGCTGTGCAGACTTCCTCCCTGGGGTGTGTTTCAGGTAGCAATCATCTGTAATTCAACTCACTGGGGAAACTGCACTCTTAGGTGGCTAGCATCTGACCCAGGAATTTACACTGCATTGGATTTGTTCCTATATAAAACTGCAGAGCTCACTGGTGAGGGGCAGGAGTATAGCACATTTCCTGAATACTGTGTCAGGGTATTATTGAGATAAAACAGGTCTTCTCTTTCTTGTATTCATGAATCAAACATGAACAGTAGGGCTTGTAGGTTAATTCCCTGTAGAACTACAGGCTTTATTGTTTGTCTTTTTTGAGTTTGAGATGTGACTCGAGGCTGTGACTTAAAACTATGAGCTCCAGTGTTGCTGTTAGAAATAATTGTTCTCCAAGGCTTTGCCCATCTTTCTGAACAATTTTGTGTGTTGTCTGTATTTGTTTTCAGTTGCTGCACATTATTTATCTGCAAAAAATGTACTTCAGTAGGTTGTAGCCCTGTGCCTGAAACCATTGGCTTCATTGGCTTTGGTGAACTGTTGGTTTATGCCAAATTTGTCAGCTGGAGAAGCCAGGTTGACTGTGAGCAATTCCTCTGCCTTCCTCACCATTGTTACCTAAGTAGTCTTAAACCACTGGCAAGAACAAGATGTGGAGTTGGTTTTTTCCCCTTCAATCCACTTTTATCTATCCCATTGTTCCCACAGAAAGATCTTGCTGAGGATTGCATGTGCAGAGTGTAGCTATGCCTCTGTCTCTTGAAGGGCAGATGATTCAGCTTTTTTCACTTTCTACCACAGGCATGTGTACATAGGTGTATATGTATAAATTAACTGTTTTATTTGAGTATTTGTAAAGCTGGGATTAATTAATTCATTTCCTAGTCATATGCATTTCATATCCACATGTTCATCAGTTTTGAATACTATTTCTGGATAAATAATTTCAAGTAGCACTTGCAGCCGATAGCCTATTTTCAGAAAAGCTGGACCCTTTTCTTCTTTTCAAAATGTCCCAGTGCTTGTTTTTGTGCTTGACTATTCTCTGTGATCTTGATTTCACTGTGATCTCCTTTTTGCATTAGACCCTGAGCAGAGCAGAGGACTTTCAGTCAGCTGTTCTCAGACTAGCGGGGATTCCCATCATTGCTGAAGTTTACTATATTGTAGGAGGTGTCTCACCCAAAGAAGGCATGGTCATAACCAGGAACAGAAGGGGGCCAGCAGATCTCTGGCCTCTCGATCCTTTAGGTGGAGCGTAAGTAGAAAAAAAATGGCTCATTTTGTGTTATTATCTATTCCCTGCTGAGTGAGAGGCAGGGTTAGAGAGACAACTCTCTGGAGACACAGGCTCATCTCTTACCAATGTGTAGAGCTTCACAGGGAGAACTTGAAAGCCTCAGAAGGGAACCTAGCCCCTTCTTTTAGGGAAGGAATCACACCACCTCGTCAGGTTGGGGCAGTCCAGAGAGCCAAGGGTGGAAAAAGCATCTTTGTGTTCATCCTTTAAGATTCCAAAGGAGACAAGGCTTGAGGGCTTTTCCTGGCTGCCAATTATTGCACCAATCAATTCAGCACTTGCGAATTAGTTCTGACCCCATGTGGTAGAAAGGCTGAAGGCTCAAAAATAACTATTCCTATCAATTTTTGAAGTCAGCAGCTTAATACGTGAAGGACATGCTAAATAGCTGCCCTGTGGTGGAAAATGGCTCTTAATGCCTACAATCAGCCAGTGAATATTGGCTTGGCAACAGCGAGTTGGCCTGTTGGTGTACTTCAAACTGAATGCTGCAGGCTGTGTGCATCTGTGTTCTCTGATCATCTCTAAAGGTCTCACCTTGGCTTTATTGTAGTCAGTAGCTTTATCACTGGTGCCAGCAGTGGTTCAGAGGTCGCTGGCATGTTTTGTGGTTTATACCATGTGGATCACAGTAGGATCCCCTGGGCTTGCAAGAGACACAGGAAAGAGGCTTTTGAGGCAATGCAGAGATACTGATTCTTGGTCTTTATTAGTTACCTGCTGAGGTGCCTTTTTGCTTATGCATTTGTGGTGTTGCAGGTGGTTTCGTGTAGAGACCAACTATGACCACTGGACTACCCCTCCTCCCTTTGATGATCGAAGGTAACTTCAGAGCTCTGGGGTGAGGTAACACTTTTATTCTGGAGAAGCTGAGAGTCTTGGGTATCTTCTTCTCTGAGCAAGTGTTAGTTCATTGAGCAGGCAGCATGTTCAGTTTCTGTCATGGGAAACAGGGAAAGGGAACAGGTAAGGTAAGGAGTGATATTCACATATGCCAGAGGAAAGCGTGTGGCATTGAGTGGCATAAAAGATAAGAAGTTGCAAGGATAAGGCACGTGGCAACAATTTCCTTGTAAAGCAAAATATTTAGTTGAAGTTAAAGGAGTTAGATTTACAGCAAAAAAATAGTTGGTGGCACTAGGTGCTTGCAGACATCATACCATCCTTAGGCTGTATGGGATGCAAAAAGCTGCTGACAGGTGCCCTGTTTGTCCCCCCTCAATGGTGTAGTAATCGAGTAGCTTCAGTCATATGAGACTAGGTTGTCTCACACCTCTGGGTTATTTGAGGCCAAAAGTATTTGTATACTAAGGCATTTAGTGAGACACTGTTCACATTGGGGCTTTGTAGCCTTTGGAACACTCAAATGTGTTTAATGACACTTGTTTTCCTGCAGAACTGCTGCCATCAGAGCTCTCAATGCTACTGGACAGGAGAACATCAATTTTGATACACTCTTTAAGGTATGCCTTTGAATTCTGTCTTGTGGCATGTAGACTTTGACTTAAAATTCATCTTCAAAGCAAAAGTACCGTTGCATTTTTGTCAGGGATGGAAAAGGTATGACAGGAAGGCGTGGTGGAAAAGGGGTACTGCACAGCCAGGTCTGTGGAGTTTAAGACTGAGTTTGTTAAACTGTTTCTGAACTCCCTTACACCACATTTCATAATAGTCTGCCAGTCCAAGTGGAAAGTGAATCCCACCACCATCATCTTTGTGCAGGTCCTAATTTCAAGTACAGTTAAAAAGATTACAGCAGACAGCGTTAGACATGAGTTACCTTTACCATCTAGTTCTGGAAACTTAAATACTGTGTATTTCAGAGGGCTTTTCAAGTATTTTTGTAAAATGGTCTGACACTTAGAAAACCAGAAAGATCTTTGACTTTGCATAACTCCATTGCATAACTTCATTCCACTCCTGTTTCTAAATAGCCTTTTAATTCCTCTTCATTGGCCAAAATCACAACTCTTCAAACTTTCTGTACAGGTGTTATCAGTGAAGCCAGTCTTAAACAGGTAAGTATTAGATTCAGATAAGTTAATTAGTTTCTCCTGCTGTGCCTCCAGCCACTTAAAAGCCAGTCACAAGCTTCCTTAAGGTCTTCCCACGTGTTTGGATGAAGATCTTGTGGATTCCCAGCTTAGATTTCCAGTTGTACACTTGGCACCCTTCCTCTTTGGTCTGACACTCTAGCCAAGACAGAACACTTTTTTAGACTCAGCCTGGTAATGGGAAGTTCCTTTGTAGTAGGGAAACAAATCACTGCTTAGAGCAGTTGGACTTTCTGATGAGTCATTTGTGCCTTTGGAACCTTTGGATTTAACAATGCAGGTTGCTTTCTCTGGAGTTGGTGAGCTCTGCTTGCTGTGTAAAAATGGGAAAAAAAAAAAAAGCAAATGGGGACTTAGATTTTTAGGTACTGGATTTTTGAGACTGATTTCAGGATACCATCATTTTTCTGCTTTGTTCCCCAATGGCACCTTTGCAAGTTATACTGTTTAGATTTACTTTTATATGGAGCTCAGTATATTCTCTGGATCAGTCATTTGCATTAGATCTTGGCAATGGTTTATTTTCAAGTTAAAACCAGGACCTCCTCTCCTCTCTTAAAATGTGAGGAAATGTGTAAGGGAGATTCTATCTAGATGACTGCTGAGATTAAAAATACCTATTTTTTAATACAGTGATGAAATGGATGCTGAGGTAGTTCTTTTGCTGTACTAAGTGAAGCAAAAATATTAAACATTTGTGCCAGCAGCCTTAATTTTTTAGTCTCTTTTCTGATTTTTCTAATGCTTCTGCACCTAAGAAGCGCTTGTTTCCACTAAAATTTGTTCTGCTTTTTGCTAGTTTAATAAAGAAATCTTGTTCTTGGAATGTCACTCACTCAACTGTTTTCCTCTTTCCCAAGTAACACAGTGTATACCACAGTAATGAGCGCTGCATTTCCAGATAAGTACCAGACATGGATCAGAAGGGAGAAGTAAGGAGGTGTAAGTAGCCTGCTGGTGCTCCTGGCTGCTTGTACTGCTGTAAAAAATTCAGCTGAAGAGTCATTGAGGGACAGAACCTTGCAGTGGTGCTCAAGTGACTAGTCTGAATGCCTCATTCTCCCCTTGGTTTGCTTGTTGACCTTGGGTAAATACCTTCCCTTGTTGATGTGGGGATAAGAGTTAAGTATTTACTTTCTTGGCAAAACTCCTAGATGGTATTTTAGGGTAAGGGCTTTATCAGTGAGGAAAGGGGTGGGTGGTCATGTAACCCAAAGGTAGAGGTTCCTTCTTTGGATGTTTTAGGTGTCATTTTCACCAGTCCACCACTGGTGTGTCTCCAGGTGGTTGACTATGGCAGGAAGCCCCACCAGAGTGAAATGAATCTCAGCAGGAGGAGCTGGTGCTCTTGGCACCCAGAAAGATTGAGCTTAATTTGTGACAGCTGTTCACAATCCTCTGAACATTAGAGCCCTTTGAGGGTTTTGTCTTGGGAGCTTGCTTAAAAACTCCAAGTGTTTGAAGTTGCAAGGTGTCTTATGTGGTAGCTTTAATGTGTTCAGAGAAAGATATGAAGTGTGTTTTTCTATTCCAAAAAACTGGTTATGTGGTATTTCCAGGAGCACAAGAAGCTGCATCCCAGTTTGAATAGGTCTTTTACACTTTTATTAGTATTATATTTGTAGCATTTATATTGGATGCTTGATTTTAGCAAGAGTAATTCCTTGTAGAGGTTCTGATGAGTTTGCTTCTTATCTCTCTACAAACTTGTGTGCTCTCATTTATTTATTTATCTATCTTTCTGTTTCAACAGACAAACTGAGTGAGATGCTGAAGCTTTCCAAGACTGCCAATGCTTTTAAAGGCTCTTTCACAAGCAGTACAGTTGTTTTGGCTTATTAATTATGTGAACCCTTCAGGAAATAACTTGTTAATTCTTTGAAGTGTTGCAGATTATACTATTAATTAACTGTAACGGAAGTGTGATTTTTATTGTAATTACACTGATGTTTCAGTAGATGTTGATGTTTTAAAAATTGCTTTTACTGCTTTAGGAAAGAGTTGTGTGACTTGAATGTACTTTAATGTGCTGAATAAAAAAAAATTGTTGGTGGTCTGCAGGTCTGAGTATAATTAAATAAAAATATGTAGATGATTGATTTATGAAGACCTGTGGTGGTGTTAATGTTGTCATGCTTTTCTCTGACCTGTGAGGGGCTTATGATCCTGAGGGTCAGATGATACACTCAGGAAGAACTGGACTTGGGGAGCAGACAGACCAAGAAGAGTTCTGCAGAACAGGGTCCTCACAGGTTCTGGTACTGTTTGAAGCCTTTGATCCACATCAGTTTGGCCATCCTGTCCTGTGGGACCTTCCTCAGCACAAAAAATAGTGTTAATGCAAAGGAATGTGGACTCCACTGCAGGCAGGCTCTCCCTTTCCCCTGAGGCTCTCTAGTGCACAGCTGTTCTTTAGCAGGCTGATGAAGGGTGACACAGCATAGAATATTTCAGCTGGGAAGTACCTACAATGCTCACCTCCTGGAACTGCCTGTTAAGGGCATAGTCTAAATCCATGCCTCTCAAAGGCTGCCAGGCTTGGAGCATCAACCACCTCTCTCTTCCAGGGTTTGACCACTGTTGCCTGCAGTATTTGTGCAGCAGTTATGCAGACTGTTCCTGAGAGAGCTTTCTGGAGGTGTGGGCCCTTGATCTCCTTGTGCTGAGTCTGGCTAAGTGTGGTAACCTACTTCCCTGCATCCTCTGCTGTTGCCTGGGTAAGTGCCTTGACCCAGCTTGTACAGTGGTGTTGGCAGCCATGTGCCAGAGGGAGAAACTTGAACAGCAGAGTTCCTGGAGGAAGATATAAATAGCAGTTACATCAAATCCAGCCAGATATACCCACAAGTAAAGAGAGGGATCCTTATAGGTGTCATTTTGCATAGTGGTGTAAGGCTGATGATCTTCTGGCAGAGGTGTGCCCAGCTTTTCAGTGGCATGTACTTGTAATCAAATGGGTTTGTTTCAATGCAAACCAACACAGCTGGAGTGTATCAATATTTGGTACAATTAGGGAACGGTTGTGCTCTGTTTATGTCTCATTACCTGTTCAAAACTTGCTCAGGCCCAGCTACAAAGCAGATGATTACAACATGGGGTTGGGGTTTTTTTTGAGTTTTCAACAACAAAGGAAACTAGATTTGAAGAAGTCTTATGTTATTTTGCTTTTGTGCTTTTTTAAAAAAAGTCTTTCTTCTGAAAATGTTTATAAACAGACATCCTGATTCCTAACAAAATAAAGCCTATCTGCCAACTTGAATACTATTTTTTTTGCTAACTGGAAGGATCTAACTTTCTGGTCTTAAGTTTGATGACATGCTAAAAATATAAACACTGAGAAAGTGGGAAATTACAGGTCTTACAAACTAGATGATTTAACCTATGAAATATGAACTGCCTTTGAGTAAGAATTGAAATTTGACAGAAATAGACAGGATTGTTAATACTTTAAATAAAACTAATAAAACTATCGTAATGCTGGAAACATTTAAATGTAGGGCTGATTAGTTTTGGATGGTTTGGGTGTTTTGTGGCATCTTGTTTGTTTTTTTTTAAAAGGAGGATCATTTGTAGCTGTTTGAATTGCTTGCTGATCATCCTTCTGTTTGAGATTTCATCTGCTTTGTGTGTCTACTTTTCAGGCACTAAGAAGTGAAATAGCTTTTCTGCTTTCTCAAGTCCAGTCAGATTAATGATTTGGAATTGTTAAGTAATTAGAATTAAGTGAAATATATTCTCCTTGCTGCTTCCATCCCTTTGTTTCCAAAAGATTCCAGCCCAACACAAGGAACAGGTGAAAACTTTAATTCCTTTTCCTCCACACATTAGCAAGAGGCAACTTTAAAGTGTGTAAGAGCTGACTCTGAAGATGAGAGCAAGTCCAACATACTGTACTTCTCCTTTGTAATCCCCTTCAGTAATCCTAATCCATTTCAGCCCTGTAGCCTTTCTTAAGCATCACATGAGAGAAGATTCTTAAAGCTGCTCAAACCCTCTGTGCAGTAGCTAAATGGAAGGGTCTGCTCTTGTTGCAGGCCAGCACACACATTGTACCCTGCAGGTGCTGAAAAGACATGGCAGGCCCGAGGGAACAGCCTACTTGATTATTTAGATTCTGAGGAGTTTCTGAATCTGTAATCAAGCAAATCCCTTCAGACACTATTGATCACTTTGGGTACTGTATAGAAACAAAAAAGGGGAGAGACCTTCCATTGTGTTTGTCTTAATCCATAAATTAGAAAGCGGTGGCAAGGTAAGTTGCATTTTTGTTTTTATTTCTCTTTTGTATTCAGAAGTAGTTACTTGGCACCCACAGTCTGAGGGGAAGGATCCTTTTTATGTGTCAAGCCTTATAAAACTGCTGTTAGGAGTTTTCTGTCTGAAATTCTCCTTTTTGGCACTGCAGTAGTTGTGTAGCTGCAGAGGTCGGGGCTTGTGTAAAATAAAACAAGCTTCACCATATTGTTTCCAGGTGTGAGAGATGCCAAGTCTGATGTACACGTGAGACATATATAGGTAAGGCAGGATCATCACTTTCCCTGGTGCTAGCTAGTATTTTTCTTCCTGGGAGAAGATTATTATTATTATTTTAATTAATCTGTAGCTCTTGAGCTGTTGTTCTTTTAGCAGAACTGAAAATTTCTGTTTCCCTCAGATTTTTCGTGGTGGACTTCCAGTAAGGCTGTTGTATTTTCTCATAGCTGTCCAGATGCTGCTCATCAGTTCCCTCAGTTTCCCAAATGTCCATAAAATTGCCAAGTTAGTGGGGATTCAGATGCACGGCTGATAAGTGTCCTCTTTCCTAGGAGTCCTGTTTTATTTGGAGTTAGCTTTGGGTTAGTTTTAGTGTTCCTTGCCTTTGAATCACATGGGTGGAGCACCACATTCTGCACAGACCTGTAATGTGGACAAGCTCAGTGATGTGACAGTGTGTAGGATTTGATTAAAAATGCTTTGGTTTTGAAGGAATTAATATTTATCTAAGCCAGGAAATTTACCTGGGCTTTTGCTGTTCTTGCTTTGGGTTAGTTGACGCAAATGGATTTGTGCAAGGCTTCCTTTAATGAATTTTCTATGGTATTATTAAAGGAGTCAGCAGCTTGTGTTTTAAGAGTTGCAAAACTGCATATCTTATCCATTGGCTTCCTGTTCCCAAGAAGATAAATAGGTAGGTGCTGCTGCCTGTGCTTGCTCTCTGCAGGTGCTCCTAGGGCACGCTGTAGATGGCCAATGTTCGTGTTTAAAGTAGGGCTGTCCAAGTAACAAATGCTTGCTTGTTTTGCAGGGGAGGAGGGAAATGAGGAGAAGTTTTATCCTGTGTCTCCAAAGGTGCTCTCGTATCGAAGGTTCCATGTTGTCAAAACAGATAGGGAGTACCCCTGGATGCATCCTAAGCAAGCTAAGAATCTAACTCTGTATTTGAGAGCTTGCTTCAAATTTATTCTCCATTTTTTAAAAAGCTACCAGGAAGTGGTTTAGTTCCTGAAAAAGGATTATTTTTTTTCCCCCCTCTCCTGTTTGCATTTTTGAAAGTATCTTCCTTTAAAGCTGGTACTGCCAGGTTCCTAAGCAGCACTGAGGAGAGAGCTGGGCACACACAAGCTGTGCTGACCTCCAGTGTGGAGGAACAGTTGTGTACACTGACCAGGGTTTTCAGTCTGGTCCTGTGGACTGAGCTCCCGTGGGTAGCTGCAGTGTGTCTTCTGGTGTAACTTCATCAGAAAGGAACGTGTGTCCTGCTGTTTCCAACTGCCCTGCCAGGTCACAGCCAGAAGGCAGTAAGTGGAGGTGCTTGGGGATGACTCTTGCCAAAGCAAGCTCCCAATACAGAGCAAAACATTTGAATAATTGCTTCTCTGGATAGCAAATACTTGCTGAAATCTCAGATCTGCATCTTTGAATAGCCAAGATGGGAATTACAACTCTACATGGAGAAGTGATGAGATTGAAAGTCTGTTTTTAAATGTTTGTTTGGATAGCCAAGATGGGAATTACAACTCTACGTGGAGAAGTGATGAGATTGAAAGTCTGTTTTTCTTGAAATGTGATTTCCCTTGTAGAGGAGGTTACAAATAAGAGACTTAAATGCCAGATATTTTGATTTTTGTGTGTAATTGTCCATTCAAGCAGCTAATAATCTAAAAGTTGTCAGAGTACCTGCATTATTTGAACACCACAGCTGTAAAGCACTGGATGTAATTGGGCAAAATTCAGGAGTGATTTCAGGCTATTTTGTGACACTGATGTGAAATAACATTAGAATAAAACTCAAGTGACTGACGCTTTGTTGAGGTGTTGCTACATACCCTCCTGTGGTGCCCTCATAGCTACTGTGAAGATGCCATTGTGCAATTCAGCATCCTGGGCATACTGCACACATGCACCTGGTACAACACTAGACATTTCTTCAATTAGTGTTTGTGCAGATCTGAGGCTGTTTTCAGAGGACAGAAGTGGGATAGGTGGAAAGATACTGAAGGAAACAAAAGAATTGCAGGAAGTAATAAAAGGAGAAGGACTTGTCCCTCTGCTGGGGAAGAGATGCCTCTGTAGTCACACTGTCCTGATACTTCAAAATCATTGGAGCTGTGGGCTCCTGCCAGCACCAGTGTTAACATTTTTTTACAGGTGTTTATTTCCTTCCCTTCTCTTCTCCTCCCCCAGTTCTGGGTGAGAATAAAAATCCCTATCATTCCTACACAATACAGCCTGGGACTGCTTTGGCTGTGGTCCCTGGAGTTTTGCTTTTCCTACATGATTGGGTTTTTTCAGAGGAAATATGTCTGACTGTGACCAATATTCTAGTTGTCCTCGAAGTGTGAAATTTGAAAATTTGACTGATCTTGAAATAGGAGCAGTTTGCTCTGTGCAGACCTTTCCGCAGCAGCCATGTTACCAAAGTCTGTCTGTCCTGTCCTTGCCAGGATCTGAGCAACTGAAGGTGCAGTATGCTCCCACCCTTGAGTGGTTCCACAAGGTGAAGAGAAGTAGTGTTTAACAAAGCTGATTATTTTCTTATGATAGCTGATTGTTATTTTAGACTTATCTTACCTCTAGCTGTGGAGCTGCAAATAGATTTAAATACCATATGTGCGTTCATCTGCAGTAATGAGGGCTGCCCTTCACAGATGGCTACATGCATGAATATTGGTCTGCATATATTGGTTGTTAATTAATCAACTTGATGACTTTTATAATTCTAGAGCAGTACTGGAAAACTGCCTCTCCTACATGCAATCACAATTAGAATTTTAGCGCCTTTCTCCCGGTGCTTTCTCTGTGTGTGAGGAAGGAGGGAGGCAGCACGAGGACTCACAGATGTTGTCTGCTCTCAGAGCTCTATCAAGATTGGTTGATTGTAGCCTCTGAAACAAAGGCTCAGGTGAAACCTGCTATATTGCTAAGAGGCTGGAGCCTAAAATTGGGCATATAAAGCATTGTGTGAAACTTCTTTACTGTGAGGGGGACAAAGCACTGGGACAGGCTGCCCAGGGATGGTGTGGAGTCCCCTTCTCTGGAGATATTCAAGACCCTCCTGGATAGAGCCCTGTGGAATGTGCTCTGAGCCATCCTGCTTTAGCAGGGGAGTTGGACTAGATGATCTCTAGAGGTCCCTTCCAACTCTGACAATTCCATGATTCTGTGAGAGTACATGAATGCCTGGTTTATACATCTACCATGCAATTACAGTATCTAGAGCTGCAATCTCTGCTACTTTTAAACTATTAGGAAAGGTGCTGAAATGATTTCTATTTATGTAGCTGACTTGAAATTTGAAACAGTGGGACAGAAATCCTCATCTCAGATTGTGTAGAAGACAACGAAGTAGCTTGGAAAAAACTGATAGTGGAGGATGTACTTGGGCACAAGACAGGCCATCTGCTGGTTGATTTTAAGTGTTAATGTATTTAATTATAGATTCTCAGTACTGTGGTGGGACATGTTGCAGCTGTTTTGATTCTGATTGAATGATCTTTCCTGCATCCCCTTTGTGGTTTTGGTGACACTGGGCCAGTCTGCAACGTTCTAGGAGCACTGGTTGGAGAACATGGGATCTAGTAGTTCTGTAAATGCCAACTACAAGTATTCCCTGCAGAAGTCTGAAAATGGTGAGTGATACTTTGAAAAGTATTATTTCCTGTTTGCTCCTGCACATCATTGGGAGGTTGCAGTGGATGTGTTTGTTTTCTGAGTTACCTGGTTTTCTGGATAGTATTGAGGTAAGGTTATGTCTTTCAGTATACCTGTGACAAGGAGTCCCAGCTGTCAAACAGAAGAACTGGCTTGAGAAAATAACAGCTATTTAGACCAGAATTAGATTAAAATCTGGTGGATTCTGTTCTTAAAGGCTGTCAGTGGCGCAGAACTGATAAAGCAGAAGCATTAGCAAAGGCAAATTAAGTCTGATTCTAAAGAAGGCAATCTGGTGTAGCTAAGAAAAGCTGAAAAGCAAAAAAAGTGTGCTTTTTTCCTAATTACATCACTGTAATGTGCTTCATCTCTGATAATAATCTGGACTTTTTTATGGCTCTCCAAGATGTCATGATTTATTTTTATGAAACCCTCTGTTTGTTAGTATCAGTTTTCTGGGGATGTGCTTAGATCTGCTATGGAACAAAGGGAGATTATGAGTGAGACTTTACACTGAAAGAGTGGAAAAAAAACCCAACAGATTACTTTGTTGTTTGACTCATTCAGTCATCAGCATTGGCAGAAAGGCAGACAGTGCAAACTGTTTGCAAATGCTCTGAAAAGAAAAACACTGATTGCATTTTGTCTACAACAAACGAAGTGTAACATAAAACTTACTTGAAACTGTTGAATTGATACCTCATCAACAGTTTCCCGTGACAGTAAAAGCTCTCTGAATTTCTTGCATCTGGTTCTCGAGATCCTTCAGATCTGCTTACCTGCAGATATGGAATTGCTTAGGATTTTCCACCCAAGCACAACGCTCCAGGCGCTGTCCCGTCTCCCTACCCAGGCCAGGGGCTGTTCCCTATGGGAAGTGTAGCCAGCAGAGCTCTGCTAAACTGGCCCTGCACTTGAGTGAAGAAGGGGATGTGGAGTCTCAGTGAGGGGGCAGAGCCCCTTGTGGAAGCTGGTTTGTGAACTGTACTGCCAGCATGAACAGGCAGGTTTCAGTCCAGGTGCTGCCACTTGTGCTGCCAGGTCCTAAAGAGTGTAAAAAAAAACCAACAGATTACTTTGTTGTTTGACTCATTCAGTCATCAGCATTGGCAGAAAGGCAGACAGTGCAAACTGTTTGCAAATGCTCTGAAAAGAAAAACACTGATTGCATTTTGTCTACAACAAACGAAGTGTAACATAAAACTTACTTGAAACTGTTGAATTGATACCTCATCAACAGTTTCCCGTGACAGTAAAAGCTCTCTGAATTTCTTGCATCTGGTTCTCGAGATCCTTCAGATCTGCTTACCTGCAGATATGGAATTGCTTAGGATTTTCCACCCAAGCACAACGCTCCAGGCGCTGTCCCGTCTCCCTACCCAGGCCAGGGGCTGTTCCCTATGGGAAGTGTAGCCAGCAGAGCTCTGCTAAACTGGCCCTGCACTTGAGTGAAGAAGGGGATGTGGAGTCTCAGTGAGGGGGCAGAGCCCCTTGTGGAAGCTGGTTTGTGAACTGTACTGCCAGCATGAACAGGCAGGTTTCAGTCCAGGTGCTGCCACTTGTGCTGCCAGGTCCTTTCCATAGCTTATACAATGATGTATGATTCAGTTTACTTGCTTGGATCCTCATAAAATGTGGATAAATCTTTCTCTTTTTTATTATTTCTTTTTTTCTAACCTAGTACAAACACTGCCAGATGAAAGTCATCCAGGTAAGCTAGTAAATTTGAATACCTGGCTTTCCCAGTTGCAGAGTCAGTCTCTGAATAAGTAGCATAAAAATACCCAATGCCTTACCCATCTGGAGCTCAAAGTGCGTGGAATTCACGCTCACTGTGCACTTGATAATAAGTCTTTTAATCTGCTTTTCATGTTTCAAAGGATCTAGTTTGCTTTGGCACATGTGGAGTCCTAACTGTGAATTTCTGCTGGGGATTCAGTTGAAATACACCAAACTCATATTGTAGTACTTGGGCATTTACCCACTATTTGGGGAATGCAAGATATTTTGCTGTTGTTTGTTTTAGAGTGATTATGACTGTGAATTTGGTTACAAGCCAGCCTGCCAGTAAGGCAGCTGGTGTCTGGTCTGTTCTAAACGAGGCTCCAAGAGGTAGCATCAGGAGCATCAAACTGCAGAAAAATGTCACCCTTTTTTATTTTTTCACAGCCCAGCAGATCAGTAGGCTTTTTCTCAACAGCATGTAAGGTTCAGGCAAGGAGTACATAAACTATTCTTGAAGTAAGGCTAGCTGAGCCTTATCATTCAGCCCATGACTTCCCTGTGATTTGGTTCCTCAGCTGCACAACAGCAATAGCTCTTCCCTTTCTGTGCTCTGCAGCTCCGACAATAACATAATTTAGAAGGATTATTATTTTTAATACATAAGCAATCAGGTTATCTTCTTTAGGTAAAGGTCAATGTTTCTTGCTGAACTACATGGAGGGTGGTTATGTTAAATAACTAATGCAAGCTAACTGAATTAATGTGATCTCTGTCTCTGGGGGGATTTCCTTCTTTTTAACAAAGTTTTTCCACTCCACACCCCTCATTGCCCTCTCTGTTGCAGTGAACAGGGCAGTGCTCTTGCACAAATGAGATGCCAAGGGAAATACAAGGCTTCTGTGCCAGGGCTAACTATGTCATCTCCATTTGATTTTGGGGCCAGCCTGTAGCTAGAGCAGTCATTCCTCCTTCTCTCAGCTAAAGATGACACGGAGCAGCATTGCTAGAAATTGTTTTAAGCGTAGGGTTCCAGGGTAGGACTCCAGAAATAAACAGAAAGGGACACAAAGTGTAACCAAAGGAGAGATGCCAAGTAACAGAGCTGTTTGGCAAGGTGCTGTAAAGTCCCCAGGAGGTCCACATAGGTTCAAGACCAGCTAAGGAGGATGAAAAAGTTTTTCAAGGTATATAAAGTTCTGTGGCAGAACTTGATAAAGGAAAAGCCCCCATGTTCTCTACCTTAAATATGCTCATCCGAAATAATCTTTTGATGAAAAACACCAGAAATGGGGAAATGCAGAGGAATGTTTTAAAAAACAGGGCAAACAGCCATTAATTTGAGGGAAGAGCCTAGTGCCAGTGCTGGCTGTGGATTGAACCACGACCAGACACCTGGAAATTCTTGGCATTTCATTCCTTCTGTGTCACTGTGGCCAAAGATCTATCTTTCCTCTTTGCCCTGTGGCTGTTAATTTTGTCTTTATTCCAAGGTAATGGTATGTTGACATTTCTGCTAGAATAGATCTCTTCTGAAATTTGTCGAGAACTGCAAAAGCTGAGGTATGTGTTTGGCTTAAAGGAAGGTGGACAAGCCCCATATTTTTAAGACTCTAGGAGGGGACTCAGGGTCCTGTTTTCCCCCCAACTCCTTGTGTTGCTTCAGCGGAATCTCTGGTTTCCTGAAGCTGCAGTACCTAGACTGTAAGACGGACATGAAAGTGATCAAGGTAGATAGAAAGGGAGGAAATTGTCTATTAAAACTGAATAACATGATTGGATCCTGAGGCCCTGATAAGGCTGGTGCCGCAGAGCCAGCAGCAATGGCTAGAATTGCTTCAGAGGTTTCTGGCCAAACAATCTCTTGCAATATGGAGAAGTGGATGTTTTATTACCCTTAACGTTTAGGCATCAGAACACCTTCCATGAAAAGTTGTTCCTGAGAAAGAAAGGTCCCTCTTCAATTTTCAGGGTCAGGAGAGGAGCAGTAGCAGGGTACCTCAGCTGCAGCCACTGCAGCTCAGCAGGCTGGCTCTGGTTTGTCCCCCAGCTTTCAAGGCAGCCGTCCTGATCCAGCGGTGGTATCGGCGCTACGTTGCTCGGCTGGAAATGCGCCGGCGTTGCACCTGGAGAATCTTCCAGTCCATTGAGTATGCCTGCGAGCAGGATCAGATCAAGGTAGGGTGCCAGGAAAAAGAGTACAGGAAAATACACAGGAGGGTGGTTTCTCTGCCAGACTTGCTTGTTTCTGGCTACTGGCAGTAACCCTGTAAGTGCCTCTGTGGGCCGAGCACTGGGTTTCCTCTCCCTTTCTAGCTGATTTCCTGCCTGCTTGTCTGATGAAACGCTGAGTAATGAGTCTTGAAAGTTAGCTGTAAGGATGACTAAACATTGCTTTTACTGAATCTGAACCCTAATTGGTTTGTTGTACTTCAACTTTGACTAATATTCTCTTATATGGTTGCCTTCCTGCCAGGCAGGGAGAGGAAGGGCATATAGGTGTCCATCTGCCTGTATGGCTGAAGGTAAAGCTCCTTTTTTTGATTTCATCCCAAGATATTAAAAACTGGAATTGGTATAGTGTGATCTGTTGTATGTACCAGACATCACGAGGAGGACATGGATACTTCCAGAATGACCATGTTAAGTTGCCACTTTGCAGAATTTCATTCCAGGGTGATTGATGATGGGCTCTCTCTCTTCTTGCAGCTTCATAACTTCTTCAGTTACCTCATGGACCACTTCACACCAAGCAGCAGTAAAGAGAGTAAGTTTGTATGTGCTGTTTGTAGATTTGGCACCAGCAGCTCAGAACGTTGTACCCTGTACTGGCCCTTCAGGTTAGCAAAGGGGGGGACAAGAGAGTCTAAAGAGGACAGGAATTTGGATAAGGAGTGAATTATCTGAAGACTGTCTGAGCTGTGCGAGGGATGTGGGGCAATTCTTGTTCCTTAGGAGGGAATAAAAGCTCAGTATGCTTTCTAAGAGCAGTATTAGAAATCTGCCTTTTTCAGGGCTTTGCAAAGTACATTTCTGAAGCAATTGAATCCATTGCTAGGGACCTGTGCTTGGGGACATTATTATTTAGTGTCCCCTATAACTGGGGCAGAGGGGGAAGTGCTGTGGGAACAAACACAGCATCTTCCTGAATTTGCAGATTGTTATTTCTTGGTGCTTAGCTCTGAATCCTGATGGTAGTTGAGTAAAATTAACTATTTAATTTGCTGACCATAACCTGCTGAAGTCCTCTCTCCTTCCTTTCAAACTGCCACCCTTTTCCTCACAACTACCTCACATATTTTAGAGCAAAGCATAATTTTTCACCATCTGTATAAAACAGAACAATAATGTCCTGTTCCTTGAGTTGGGCTCCAAGATGCTACAGCAAAAAAAAAGTGTGTTTGTACAAATTCTGTGCAATGCTGAGAATGTAGGTATAAGCTTAGAAAAAGCAGTGGGATATAGGAAACAGTTCCATGACGCAGTTTGCTTTTGCATTTCAATTAGCCATGGCAACCAACATCCACGTGGTGCTACCAGAGCTGTGCAGAAATGAGCGTTGCTGCAGCGCTGCCTGACAAATAGCAGATGGAAACTTGTCCCTGCAGCCTTTTCCCCACTGCCAGTTCTGTAGTGGTGACAAACTAGGAGCTACCCTCTGCAGCTGCCATTGCTCATGAGCTCTAGCATAAACCAGCAGCTTTTCTTTAGCAAACTACTAGCATGGTGTATTGAGCCAACTTAACCTTTTCTTGTCCCTTTCCCTTTTTATAAAAACAAATGGACCAATCTACCATCTAGGGGATTTCATCAGTCGCATGTTCATAACTGGGGAAAGCTTCAAAGAGGCAGAGCTGGAAAAATACTGTGACTATGAATCAATGGAGGTGCCAGACTCCTACACTGGACCCCATCTCTCCTTCCCACTCGTTCCCGACCATGCGACTGCCTTGCTGGAAGCTTTCAAACAGAAACAAGTAAGGATCCCCAGACAAGCTACACTTTCCCCTTCTCTGTGCAGAGGTCATTGGGTTTTATCTCATCTGACAAGTTAAGCTGATTGGAGTACAGTGAGCTGTAAAGGCTGTTAAGCAAAGGGAGCTGGAAATGATACTGTATTTGCCCCTGCCATAGGAACTTCTGATGTTTCTGAAAACGCAGTTCTGACAAAATTGATAACTCTTGGTAGGTGTGCACTGATAGTAACCTGAATTTCGTTTTTAAAGGAAAAAACCCAGCAACGCATAACAGTCCATGTTGAAACGTTCTATCAATTTTTGTTGCTATTCATCAATTTTTTAAAATGTATAGGATGGCCCGGATGGAAGCAGCTGATTAAAATGTTTTGTGCCATGCAACTTTGACTCATATTTAAAATGTAAAACGTGAGGGTTTTGGTAAGGCCAGTGCCAATTCAGGAGCACTAAGACGACAAATCCTCATGCAATTGTGGTGTTGTGCTGCCATCTGTCAGTCAAGACCGTAAACTGCAAAATAGGCTAAACAGCCTACCTTCTCCGAGCAAAATGACTTCTAAAACAAAGGTCTCTAATGTCTAGAGTAATATTAAACGCCTACACCCTGGCTTTCAGTGAACATCTTTCTGCAGGACAGACGCAGCATCATGTGGAGAAGGCTAAGAAGGATCTAGAGGAGCAGCTTCTTACCTGTGATACTGGGCTGGGATTTCTGCTGTTCTAGTGAGAGTTCCTGCCATCCAGGCTGTGGTGGTGGGTCCTTGAGGCCTTTGCAGGCAGACCTACGTTGCTGCTCAGAGGTCACTGATTTCCTGCTTTAATCCCTTCGCTTTCTCCTAGTAGCAGCTCCATGCTCGCTACGTCTTAAACCTGCTGAGTGAGACCAGGAAGCACCTCAAGCAGTTGCCAAACATCAGTCACGTCTCCACCTGCTATAGCGAGGAGGTCACCGTGTGCGGTACGTCTGGGCGGGAAGGTGCTGGGGCAAGAACACCCGTGTGGAATGGGTGGGAAAGGTGAAAAATGGCAGCATGAGCACGATGCCCTCCTCTGTACTGAGTGTGGAATACAAATGCAGGCTGTAAGCAACGTGTGTGTACTGAGAGGCAACAGGGGCTGCCTAAAATACCCAGGTTTACCCCTGATGCTCTATTTGAGCTGGTACAAAGACTAGCCTGAAGACTGGATGGAGCAAGTCTGCATCATGGTGCTATTTCTGCTTGGTCTGGAATGGGATGGGGGTGCTGAGGGAAGGTGCTGTGCCTATTTGTAGTCGGTGTTTGGGATCCATAATTAACACCTGCCCTGAAATGGCAGCATTCAGCTTGGCACAGCCTGCTGTGGTGGAGGTGCTGTCAGGGTGACTGTGAAACTGCAAGAGGAGGAGAGGTATGAATGGAGAAGATAAGGACATATATTTGTATAAGGGAAGATGAAAGGTGATAGTGAAGGCTTGTGGCTCTTGAAATTCTTGTGTGTTACAGTAAAGATTTAAGGAATTTTTCAACTGCATTCAAACTGGTCTTTATTCTGTCACCCTAAACTTAGAATTCCTTTGACTAAACCACAGAAACCTCATCTAGTCGAGGACTGGACTCAGAACTCACAGCATTTTTTCTCTGCATTTTCTGCAACCTGGGATTATTTAAACAACAAAGTCCTGGAACTGTTTTGGCTGTGTCTTCATTAGCAGCAGTGTATGTATTCAGATACAGAATACTACTGCTTTGATCTTGTTAAGCACATTTGAAAGAGGCAAAGCTTTTCATCATTATTTTCCTACTCTAGGATTAATGGTTAAACTTTGAGTTACTTCTGAAAAATAAGTACTTAGCACAGGCTTCTGCATGCTTCTGGAAAACAAACCTGTCCCTCCAACATCAACATACTGTCACTTGTCTTTTTGTGCCTGTTAGGAGACTTGCACGGACAGCTGGATGACTTGTTCCTCATATTTTATAAGGTAGGCACAGTTATTTGGAGAGGGAGGCTGGCTGGGTATTGTGAGAGGTATTGCATGGGTCATGCTGAGAAGTGTTTGCAAAACTAGGCCCTTGGCAAGCCATTCTCCAGGTCAATTTGATTGGTTTTAAATGGCTTCACAAAGCAGCAGCTTATTCCCTTGGTGACTTGGAAATCTGATATACACATACATTTGGGAAGTGCCAATGGACATGTTTGTAAGTGCCTATACCAATGGCAACTCTTCCTGAGTGCCAGCTTTCACTTTTCAGTGCATTTGCCACTGGAAGCCTACAGGATAAAGTAAGAGTCAGGATCTATTGTATAAGGTAACGTAGGACCGAATAAGAGAATGTGCAGCTGGGGGTGTGGAGCTAAATGTAGATCCTGGAGATGCCTCTCTTGTAACATCTCTTCCTTGCTTTAACAGAATGGCCTTCCTTCCCCTTCCAAGTCCTATGTGTTCAATGGGGACTTTGTAGACAGAGGCAAACAGTCCCTCGAGATCCTCATCATCCTCTTTACCTTCCTCTTGATCTATCCCAAGGAGGTTCATCTCAACCGCGGGAACCATGAGGACCACATGGTCAACTTACGGTATGGGCTCTGTGTGGGGCTGGTCACCATGTCAAGGGTGCTGCTCCACAGTCCCACTGAATCCTTTCTCCTGTTCCTTTAGCTATGGTTTCACCAAGGAAGTAATGCAGAAATACAAGGTAGGCATATGTTTGTGTCTCCTTTACCATATGAGACGAGGACTTGGAAGGCTTGATGGTTTATATTTTTCTTTCTGACCTGTCCTCCAAGGTACATGGAAAGAAAATCCTGAAGATGATTCATAATGTCTTCTGCTGGCTACCCCTTGCCACCCTGATTGATCAGAAAGTCCTCATTATACACGGAGGCATCTCTGACACCACTGACCTGGACATGCTTGAGAAAATTAAAAGGAACAAAGTAGGTTTTATTTCCTAGACAGTGCGAGACAATAGTGTTGCTGACTTGTGGTGAGGAGCTTATTTCTACATGTCAATTTGGCTGTTGATGAGACAAATCTAAAGGATGGTCTTTCTAGACAAACTGTTTCAGTACAGGCTTGGAGTGGATTGCTTTGGTTTAATACTGGGTGGGCAGGAGGTGTGAAGGAAAGAAGCATTCTTGGCTTCTGGAAGATGTAAGGAACACAGACAGGGAAGTGGTGGGTTATGGCATAGGTAATCAGATGCTGGTGCTGATTATAAAAACACAGTGATGACGGGACTTTGTCCCAGTTTCTTAGCCTGTATTTTCCTCTAGAATTCCAGAAGGATTTTGGTAAATTGTTTGCCTTTACTTCCCTTCTCCAAATGTAAAGACAAGCACTTGCATTAGTCATTAGTCCTTCCTTCAACCTGCCGCCTAGTTCCTGTTGCACATTAAATCCATCTACTCTACCTTTTGGGAAATGTCTAAGCAGCATAAAATCTATGAAGAAGAGGTAGATTTGTAGTCAGGATGGATGTGGGGCCCCAGTGGTACACCAAGGGCAGCACATCTGAGAGGATGACACTAGTAATCTCTGACAATTAATCAGCAGTAAAAGGAACTGAGGCTTGGATCACTTGACAGTCTGTCAATGGAAGACGTCAAGAGCTGGAGATGCAGGTTTCCCAGCAGTGTAACCACCTCTCTTTTCTTTCTTATCTCTTTCAGTTTATTTCTGTATTAAGAGAAAAGAAAAGAAAGGAGTCAAATACAAATGTGGAAATACAGGAAATAAATGGGGAGAGCAAAGCAGAGGGTGACCCAGCAGCAAATGAGGCAGAGACCAGTTTACCTCTGCAGCCCCGGCCATCCCAGGCTCCCAGCATGGCCAACAAGCTGGAGTTCTCCAGGTGGGTCCGGCGGACAGTGCAGGAGCAGATCGAGTGGTGCCGCCGGCTGGCGGACATCAGTGACTCAGAGGAGGATGAGCCCACCTACTCCAGCATGGTCTCCTTGACAGATCTGGATGGGCCATGCTGGACTCGCCAGGAGGAGTGGAAGCAGGTGAGTAGTCTAAGCAGAGCCCTGACCCTGGTGGGCTGTGGGGACCTCCTGCAGCTTTTTCTACATTATGAGGAATCTCAATACAAAATTCATGGATCAGGGCACAGACAGACCTCTTTGTGTGGTTATCCTAGCATTGCACACCTTATCAGCACCAACTTATACATTGAGGTCAGGGTTAAAGACATTAAACTTTAATCCAAATAGTGGTTACTGTGTCAGCACTCATTGGAGGCTATGGAATGTCCTGGCTAGAATGCAAAGGAGTTTAATCCTAAGCCTGCTCATGGCCTTAGGATCTACTGGGTGTTTGTGCCCTGGGACCTGTGTTTTGGGATGGAAAACAGGCAAGGTTCTATGAAAACTTAGAGGCAGCAAAGGAAAGCTTTTATCAGGCCCTATGGACACCCTTTTCCCCCCAGGCACTTTGGGTGTGCCTGTAGCTCCAGGCCAACAGTCATCACATGTCTGTGATGGACCAGGTCTGTGGCAATCCTGTGGGACAGTAAGATGCTTCAGCTGGGATGCAGGTATCATCCCTCTTTCCTTGCTCTGTGGTAATAGCAGCAGTCCAGGGAGGGACCCAGAGATAGAGCTGTATTTGCTCAGTAAACTTTGATGGGTGAAATTAGCTGGGTACACTTCATTCAGTGAACCTTTCCAATCCTTCCAGATTTTAGACATTCTCTGGAGTGACCCGATGCCTCAGGAGGGCTGCACAGTAAATACAGTGCGAGGTGGTGGCTGCTACTTTGGGCCTGATGTGACAGGGAAGATCCTTGAGAAGTACAACCTGCAGTTCCTCATCCGCTCCCACGAGTGCAAGCAAGAGGGCTACGAGTTCTGTCACAACCGGAAGGTCAGTGAGGGGGATGGTGCGAAGGATGTTTGGGTTTCCATCCTGCCAGGGTGGAGCTTCTGTGGTGGCTTGTCTCAGCTCTGTATTTCTTCTAATGAGGCTTTAGTTACACACATAAACTGTTAAACAGCCTTACTGGGAGTTGTGGAAGTGTGTTGCCAGCTGAGGTCTTAGGTCAGGACAGTCTGAAGTCATCCTCTCTGCCGGGGGCATCTGCTGTGCAGGCAAAGCACGTCCTTGTGCATGGTAACTGAGAAAAGGTCTGAACCTGTTTGTGCCATTGTCCCCACTTAACGCAGCCGTTCCTAAAGATGACCTACCAAAGGGTGTTACTAAGCTGCTGCAGCAGAGTTCTGCTCTCAGAAGATTCAGTTCACTTCAGTGACTTCAACAGGGGCACTTCTGACTCCACTCACTACAGTGGAAAGTGGAAGTTTGTCAGGAGAGCACAGGGAAGTCACAGAAGCCCAGTGTGTGGCGGAATCCACATGACATCGGTGCTGTCCTCAAGGAACTGGGAAGGCTTCCAGGCCAGCTGCCACCTTGCTCTTCCTTTTCTATGTAAAACATGTTGCCTTCAGTGTCTGTTGACTCCAGACGGGATCAGCTGTGTTGTTTTCACAGATGCAAGTACACATAATAGAGATGTATGTACTGACATTAAATGCCTCTCTTTTGGGCTTAGGTGCTGACCATATTTTCAGCCTCTAACTACTATGAGATTGGCAGCAACAGGGGAGCCTATGTGAAGCTGGGACCAGACCTTGTCCCCCATTTTGTTCAGTACCAGGCGAACAAGACAGCCCATACTCTCACTATGACACAAAGGCAAGGATTTACTGTTGCTCTCTATTCACCAGGTCAAAATTCCAAAAGGGAAAATTCTGGCAGCTTTGAGAAAGTTTGACACTGGAGCTGAGCAAGCTGAACAGCTTGATTTACTAAGTAATAGACCTGGAGTAGGATTCAAGCTTTGTACAGAAAAGAGGCTAAAGGGTTGACAAGGGAGCGTTACAAGGTCAGAAGGGAACTCTTTTTTTACAAACTGCTTATTTTCTGCCTTCTCTGCTCCATTCCGTGTCCAGTTTTAACTTTTGACCCTTGCTGAGATTCCCTTCTGCTTTGTTGCTTTGCCAATCAATGCAAGGATTCACTGCATCAGCAGAGGGGAACTGTGGTCCAGGCATGCCCTGTCACAAGCATTGCAATGCAGCTGTAGCTGTGCAGAGGGCTGAGTGAGGGCCTGGGCAATCCATGGACAGGCCAGAGGAGGGGGAAGGTGCAGCTTCTCTTCTGCTTTGTGGCAAGTTCTTCATGTGCTTTTCTCTTTTCTGCATCCTCCAGAATCAGCAGAGTAGAGGAGTCAGCCTTTCGAGCCTTGCGGGAAAAGCTCTTTGCTCACACCTCAGCACTCATCAGCATGTTCAAGACCTATGATAAGGACAATACAGGTAAATCTGAGCGGAGGGACACTTGGGCTAACTCCCTGGTAGGACAAGGTTGACATGGCCAAGTTGAGTGTGTGGCTGGTTGGGAGATTCTTCACTATAGTTGTTAGTGGCTGTTGCACAGAGAGGCTGTGTTGGACCTTGCCAGAGTGTTGGTCCTGTTTGCTGTTATTCAGTGTCTCTGTTGGCAACAGAGTGGCTGAGTGTGGTGCTATAATTGAAGGGGCCTTGGAGAAGCAAGAGGTGAGTAGCTTGGTACTAGGAGAACCCTTTGGAACTGGAGTATTGCTGAAGCACTGGAAAAGACAACCTGGAACATGTCTGTTGTGTCACTTGGGAAGGCTGAGTGGTCTCTAGAGCCCTTTCATCCCTGGAGTCTAAAAATCACTGGGAAGAAGAAAGTGAGGGATGTCTTCGGTGGGAGCTGCCTCTGTCAGAGCCTTAAGGAAGGAGCTGAGAGTTCATCCTTCTCTGGCTGCCAGGAATGCTCTGCTGGTGCAGTGACCAAGACATGTTGCTGAGATGTGTCCATTTGTGGGCTGGGGGAGAAAAGGGACACAACAGCTGGCAGAACAGCTTTCTTGTGCATGGAACTGCTTTTCACTTTCTTCCCTGGCAGCAAAATTGTTCACAAAAGTCCAGTGCAGCTGTTATAGCAGCTGCTAAATTAGGTGCTTTTCCATGTTCCTGGTTGACTGAGGAGTGCAGCTGTGTATGGCATGATCTGCAGGGCAACACTGGCTGTGAGCCACAACTGATAATGAAATATCCAAGGTTAGTGTTTTCCTGTTGTTCAGATGTTTGCAGCTCTGTGGCCCAGATTTATTTTGATGACCAAAAGCTTGCTTAGGCTGGGGGGAGCAGCAAGTGCACTTTTGCCTGCAGTGGCTGATGTCTGTACAGCCATGCAGGTTTTTTTTCCTGTGCCAAAGTGCTCAAGTGTGCTATGGAGAAATGAGGGTGTTGCTGTCTGTTGGGGCCCTGGCTGTGCTGAAAGATTACGAGAAACTTTAGACTAAACATCAGGCAGCCAGAGGAACAGGGAAGGTTGTTCTCATGGGAACTAGTGAGGCTTTGCTATGAAGAAATCAGGTAGTAAGGTAAACAGGACGGGGAGTTAAAGGGTTTAAAGTAGTGACCAATCAAAAGGGGAATTGGGGTGCGTGAACAATGTATATTAACCAGTTAAGAGCTTTGCTTTGCCGCACGGACAGCGTGCACACTGTCCTAAGACTATATAATCTGTACACAACTGAATAGACTTGGACTGGACCTACATCACATTGGTGTGCAGTACTCATTCCTGGGTCACCACAGGATATGGACCACGGCAGCTGGTGACCCCGACGTGATACGACTCGGGTAGGGAAACAAAGCCGAGGAAGGGCGAGGAGTCCTGCTGCCCGCGGGTAAGCAAAGCTGGGCCGTTCGAGAGAGACGGCCACAGAATCGGGGAGCAGGATGCGGTTGGCAGAAAAGAAGAGAAAGAAAGGAGAGAAAGAGAGAAAGAAAAAAAAAAGAGAGAGAAAAAAAAAAAAGAGAAAAAGAGAAACAAAGCTGGACCGACAATCGATGGTCGATTTGTTGGTGTGGTGCAGGCGGAAGGGTCTCTTGGAAAAGCCCTCGCAGGCATTTAGTCTTGCTGCCTGGAATAAAGTGGGGGAAGAGCTGTGGGAGTCTGTGCAAACCGGCTCGAAGGAGGCGAAACGACTCTCGGTCCGCCTCATGATTGAGCAATTAAACGGGGAAGCTCAAGGTGCCGCGGCTCGTCGGCAAGCGGGGCTGGAGAGTGGGAAGGAATGTCAAGAGTTAACTACTTCTGAACTGACATCGTTAAGTCATTCCGCATTACAATGTAAACAGCCTGAGAGCAATCACTCTGCATTCCCGGTCTCTTTAGCAGAGAAAGAGGCGTGGGAAGGGGTGGATGATGAATTGCCTCCTTGGAATCCCGAGCAGGAGGGGAAAATGCAACTGGGGGAAGGGAAACAGGCAATACAGCCCTCGGCGCCCACCCTTCCGATGGAGGTTGATCCTGCCACGCTCCCCCTCCCGGGCTGCAGCGCCTCCATCGAGGGGCTAAGGATAAAGAAGTGCAGAAGGCGAACAAGGACGCCCATGAGGCGATTGTTGGTGGGCTAAAAAATACCGAGCATCAGCTATGGGGAATGGTCCTTATCAGAAGCTAATGAATATTTACAATCTAAATATGGACCCTCTGCTAAAATCTCTTGACTCTGAAAAAGAGCACCTACAAAAGCTTCAGGATCTATTGCAGAAAAGGTCCGGTTCTTCCAGCCCAGAGGGAGGGCCGCCTCGGTCTCCAGTCCCGCCCATCACCGGGGAAAAAGGGGGAAGTGCCTCCCGCTTCGGCAGCTGAACCTGGTGACCCAAGTTGTAGTCACACTGCCCGATGGAAAGGTATCATTGAGAATGCATGGTTAGAAGGGGGCTTTATGCTTTCACCTTTGTCCCTGCCAGTCGTTCGGACAGACCATGGTTCACGTTGGGATCCTTTACAGTGGAAAATGGTTGTTAACATACAAAAGACAGTGATGGCATATGGCCATGACAACAAATTGGTACGCAATCAAGTCTCTGCTCTCTTTAAAGATACTGAGTTGGTTCCAGCTGACTCAAAAGCCCTGATGGAACTGATCCTGACACCTACCACTTATATGCTCTGGATGGCCAAATGGCAAGAACGACTAGAGGCCAAAACGTTAGAGAATCTTAATTTAGCACTAGATGATCCATTGCGCCTTGCCAACCTGGACCAGCTGATGGGCACGGGACAGTTTCGGGATCCATCCCGGCAGGCAGCGCTGCACCCTCGAATCCTGGTGCAATCTAAAAACGCCGCTCTGGCTGTATTTTTGGCCCTGCCACAATTAGCTACCCCTCAACAGCCATTTACTAAGATCATGCAGAAGCCAGAAGAATCCTTTTTGAGTTTTGTAGACCGACTTAAAGAGGCATTAGATGTTGCCCCAACTGTTCCTCGGGATATGAAGGCAGTTTTGGTGAAAGAACTGGCTATCCAAAACGCCAACTCAGTCTGTAAACAATTGCTTGCCACCTTACAGCCAGGGGCTTCTCTTGCACGAATGGTGGAGACCTGTGAATGTGCCCCACTATTGATGAAGTCAGAGAAAGCAAAAATTCACGCTCAGGCTCTAGCGATGGCATTAAAACCCCAGGGACAGAGGGAAATAGGGCCCCGGGGGCTTTGCTTTCAATGTAGAAAAGGGGGACATTGGAAACGGCAATGTCCAGAGCGTTGTAAGGGAGGAGCGGTCAGAGGTGTGAGGCCGACTGCTAGATTTAATGGAATTTGTTATAGATGCTACAGGGTTGGACACAAAGCCACCAAGTGTCATTCATGCTTTAGAAGGGATGGCACTCCTCTTCCGGGAAACGGTTGGAGCCGCGTGCGGAGGGACGCAGCGAACAAGTACTCCCGGTAGCGGCTGCCTCCACGAGCTCACCGCCGCCACCGCCGGAAGTGCAGGAGGCAATCTGGCTGTGG